AATAAAAGAAGACAGTGTAGATGTCATTCCGCTCAAGTGTTTTTAGTCACCTGTCCCATCCGGTGTACTTCGGACGAAAGTTGGCAACATTTTGACCGTAGCTTGCTTGTGGGTGTCCTTCTTCAGGCCGCGCTCTATTTCCACTCTCATGCGTTTCTTCACCTCTAGCAGCTGAGTTTTGCTCAGCCTGAATTCGGCCAAAGTCTGTTGAATCTGCCGCGCCTGCTCAGTGAGACGGTATGCCACTGCTGTCACCATGGCTGCGCCCTTTCCACTGCCACTCTCTGACAGCAGGAAGCGAACATCGGAGTCTGGAACCAAACGGCGAACTGTCTTGTGCAGACGGCGAGCATATCTGTTCAGCGAGAAGACAATAATACTGGTAAATGGTCGGTTTCTTTTCTACTCTTCATTTTGTCACACAGCAAGTTAACACTAAGAAGCAGCAGACTAGTGAAATATTGCAACCACATTCATTTGGTTTGTTTCCTGTCTGGGCCTTCAGCTGGAGTCTGTTGCATCATGTCGTCAAGGAAAGGAGAAGATGTAGAAATGTGAAGGACAGTAATGGCGTAAGTTTAAACACTGAGCTAATCACATAGCTCCTATGCACAAACATAAGTCCCTGTTTGTTTCCATCCCTCCTCTTTCCACAGTCTAGTTCCAAGCTTACAGACTGACTCACTGCAGGTGGAGTTAGCATTAAAGCTAGGTCGGTGTGCTAAGCTGGCTGAAGCTTGTCCGCTTCACCCCTCAGCGCATGCTAGGAGCTGAGTCACGTTCTCGTTGGCTGCATAAGTTATTAGTTAGGCCAGGGGAGGGACTCAGGGGAAGGGTTAACCCTAACCCTCATGAACGATAAATGGCCTACACGTTTCTGAGTCGGTGGACTTCAAAGCACTTTACATTTTCATCCATTCACCCTGCCAGTCACAGTCACACACTGTTGGTGATGAGCTACATCACAGCTGCCCTGAAGCACACTGAAAGAGGCTAATCTGCCATACCAAGGCACCCGCAGTCCCTCCCACTTCACCCTCCTTCAGCAGGTGAGAAGGATGAAGTGTCTTGCCTAAGGGCACAACAGCAGATTTACCTGGAGGGAGCTGGGACTGATCCTGCAACCCTCTGATTAGCAGACAATCCGCTTTACCTCCTGAGCTAATCTGCACCGTTACTCTATGCAATAAAAGTCTAATTTAAGCCTTTTCAGAATCACTTCATCACTCAGTGTCCTGGTACAATGCTCCCATGTGAAGTTACAAAGAAGGAGGTAACACGGGGAAGGGAAGGGGTGAGGCAGATAAACAGGCCCTCCCACCCTGCTCTCGACAGAGCTGGTGTGCAGGACAAACACATTAAACATATTCAGACGGTCGCAACATAACTGAACATGTAGTGGGTGGGAGGGGGCAAGGATCTCCCATGCAACCGAGAGTCTGCAGCCAAATCAGCGCAGCCTTCACCGCCCAGGAGTGAGGAGAGTCAGGGGAGGAGGAGAGCATTGAAGTCATGGGAGAGCGTGTTTGGTATTTTGTGTGTTTGTGCACACGTGCTGCATCAGTAGTACGTGACATATCTCCCAGTTTAGTCCCAGTGTCTCTCATCTAGGATGTAGTGATACAAGCTCCCAGCAAACTGATCCAAAGAGTTCACAAGTCCCCTGTGAGGATCAGAGGAGGGAAGGGCAGTGCAACCATCTGAACCCATCTCCAGGGGAGTTTGAAATTCTTCAGCCTTCAAGGCCATCATCGGGGAGCCAAGTTCAGACAACAGCAATTGTTTTGGAACAGGTGAGAGATTAAACTTGCTCTGCTGTCTGTACTGCTGCCATCTCAAGGCGATGCCCAAACAACCAAATCAGGGGTTCAGTTTCCACCAAGCAGAGCTGATCAGCTGTTTCCATTCTGTGGACCAGTTGGCTGCTCAGAGCATGTTTCATTCCTGAGTCTGAGTTTACAGCATGACATGTTCCTTCACTGAGCCTGGGAAACTTGCCAATTGCTCACGACAGCTTCAGAATATTCTGATACACTAGGAACCCACATTCTCCAAACAACAGAAACCCACAAATCCATCCATCCATCCATCCATTTTTGGCTGCTTTTTTGGCAGCAAACCTCACCTGCGAGGCGCCCAGGAGGCATCCTAACCATGTGCGAGCCACTTCAACTAGCTCCTCTCGATATGGAGCAGCAGTAGATCTACTCCGGGCCCCTCCCGGATGACCAAGCTTCTCACCCTATCTCTAAAGCCTGATTTATGCTTCTCCATCTGTGTCAGTGCGGAGAAATGCAACGCCATTATCCATCCTTGCGTAGGGCACGCAAGTACGTACGGAGTCGAGCCCACTTTTTTAAACATCCGTCGAACGAGACGGATTACGCAAGCTTGTGATTGGTCAGAACGCCGCTGTTGTTTACAGCGCCGCCATTGCAAAGAGAGCCGAGGATAACTACCGGCAGACACGGAGAAGCTTGAAGAATACCTCGTGAAAAAACTCTAAAAATATGAACGTTTCATCCTCCCGTGACTGGAGGAGTGAAAAGATGCGCAGCAAGCGTTTTATTTGTGGACGGAAATGACAGGAAACGTGGGTTTAGAGGTGGCGAGCGCATGAAGAGGTGGGAGAATGAGAGACAAATATGTCCGTGTTAAAAGTCTCTTATACACAAAAAACACAATATAAACACACGATCTTGGACCGATACATGACAGGATACCACAGAACAGCGCTACGCCCTCTGCTGTCCTGCCGGGGAATTGCTTTGCAACACTCTCCAGGAGACGGAGAAGTATGAGAGCACAACGCTTCCGTCAATCCGTGCGTGTCTGTCCCTCGCGGAGCTGACGGAGACGCATAAACCAGGCTTAAGGGAGAGCCCAGCCCCCCTGTGGAGAAAACTCTTTTTGGCCGCTTGTATCCACGATCTCGTGCTTTCGGTCACTACCCAAAGCTTGTGACAAACCGATACTTGGATCTGAGCACTCGCCGATACCATTTACCGATACCGCGCAAAAGAATGCACTGAATTGGAACAAAAGGGTTTTTTTCTTCTATGCTTTCAACAGCAGCAGACTGAGGTAGATAAAAAATAAAATATATTATTAGAAATGATCACATAACTAAAATATTAGGTGAACAGAAATGACAAATTACAGTGAAGCCACTTTCAGGAAACGGCATTGGTATCGGTTCCTGGTATCAGTTAACCCATCCCTACTTGTGAGCATAGGTAAAGGTAGGCACGTAGGTCAAATAGCTTTGCCTTCTGGCTCCACACGGCTTTCTCTTCACCACGACAGATCGCTACAACACCTGCATCACTGCAGAAGCTGCAACAGTTTACCTGTCCATCTTGGATTCCATCTTTCCCTCACTAAGCACACTAAGTACCACGAGATACTTAAACTCCTTCATCCCTGACCCGGAGAAGGCATTCTACCCTTTTCCGATTTGGGCGCCAGAGTTTTTCAAGAAAATACTCAATTTTGATGAGACTATTTCAAAAGGTTGTAGCTTGACAATGGTTAGAGATAAAGGTAAACTAAAGTCTTCCGTAGGACCTAACGTTTGTGTTGAGAGCAAATTCACTCATCAAGTTTGCATATTATGACGTCATCAGGTTCCCTCTTACTTTTACACATTTCCATTATATTTTGAAATTTAGAAATTTTGTGTACGTATATAAAACTCTTTTTAGATTTTAATTTAATATTTTTATTTAATTTTTATGAATATTTGACTTCAATATATAACGTATTGGCATTTTTTTTTACATTGCCACTACGTCTCTCACATTAGCGGTGTTTTTACCATCATTTTTACATCTATCATGTCCCAAAAACGGCAAAATAACCAGACGAAGAGATCAGTCAACAAAGACCAGACCTGCTGGCCATTGTAAGTGTTATCTCTCTAATATTCGGCCTCTTCATGCTGCGCTCACCACCTGGAGGTGTTTTTCAAACTCCAAAACTCTTAAACTTTCAAGATAAACACACCCATAAGTGTTGCTCAGCCTGAAGTTACACATCTCCACTTTCTTCTGGTGTAAAGTAGAAACTTCATGAGGGATCATATTTGTAGCTGTGGCTCGTTAAAGTCAGCAATGACGCTTGTTGCAATATTGCGACTTAAAGGGTTAAGACCATGGTCTCAGATTTAGAGGAGCTGATTCTCATCCCAGCTGCTTCACACTCGGCTGTGAACCGCTCCAGCGAAAGCTGAAGATCACGTTCTGATGAAGTCAACAGGACCACATCATCTGCACAAATCACGTTCAATCCTTAGGCCTTGGTGGAGTCCAACTCTAACTGGAAATGAGCCCGAATTCCTGCTGGCAATGCAGACCAAGCTCTGGCACTGGTCATATACGGTGTTTTTCCAGGAACACTTCACAGAGGAACTCGGACCGACCACCATTCCCAAGGGCACTGTTCAGTATTTTCTCTCTGCTTTCTCCTCTATTTTTAGTCCCTGCTCCATTGAGGTATTTGGCAAGGCTGAGTCGGGCTGGCATCATGATTCTGGCCGCTGGTTGGCTAAGGGTGGGTCACTGGTTCATTCGTGCTATTTTTCACAAGTAACCCCCCCCCCCCCCCCCCCCCCCCCCCCCCCGGTTCAGTGTCTGACAAAGAGCCATAAAACTGAGAATAATGTCCAGGAACACCAAGATTTTTCAGCTGAGTAGTGTTTCTGTGGAGCATACAGGTTACCTTACACCCTCCACCCCCCACCCCCCACTCCCACTGCACCTAAGGGGCGCACCCCCTTTCTGTCATGGAGCTGGCATGGGATTAAAACTACACTCAGATGGGCAAACTCGAGCCATGCTGTACAGAGCTGTTTTGGGCTGAGTAGTGTTTCTGGGAAAACACCTATAGAGACCTAACGGCCCATATGCCCGGTACCCCATACCCCCGAAGTACCCCCAAAGTGCGTCCCAAGGGACACGGTCGAACGCCTTCTCCAAATCCACAAAACACATGTAGATTGGTTGGGCGAACTTCCACGTACCCTCCAGGATCCCCTTAAGGGTGATGCCGAATGGTGGACCAGAATCTCCTCGAAATCTTGCTCCATGGTCTCACTGAACTCCTCCCACGCCTGGGTTTTTTCCTCTGTGACCACCTGAGTCCCATTTTGCATGGCCTACCGGTACCCATCATCTGCCTCCGGAGTCCCACAGGCCATAATAAACCAGATGGGACATTTTCATCAGCTTGACGCCATCCCAAACAGTTGGTGTTCACGAGTGGGTTTGTGGATTTCCTCAACGACAGGCACTGACGATCCGGCGGCTGCAGCTCCTAGACAATGGATGCACGGAACATGGCCCACTTAGACTCGAAGTCCCTCACCTCCCTGGGAACATTTTGGAAGTTCTGTCGGACATGAGAATTGAAACTTCCTCTGACAGGAGACTCTGCCAGACTTTCCCAGCAGACCCTCACAATACTTTAGGAACTGCCAGGTCTGACTGGCATCCTCTAGCACCCCCTCCAAGGACTAAAAGAGGGTGGTAGTCTGAACGGTAGTTTGGTGTAGAAGCACAGACAACAGTCCGGACCCTTCCCCCCACACCTAAGTGGAGGGAAGCTACCCTCTCGCCCACCGGGGTAAGCCAACGAACCCCAACAAGCAGGCACCAAGATGGTAACTAGTATGCCCACCCCTGCTCGACTCCTCCCAGTTGGACCAACTCCAGAGTGGTAGAGTATCCAGCCCCTCTCAAGGAAACTTGTTCCGGGGCCAGAGCCATGCATCAAGGTGAGTCAGACTATATTTAGTTAGAATTTCTCAACCTCGCACACCAACTAAGGCTCCTTCCCCACCAGAAAGGTTCCAACTCAACCAGCTTCTGTAGCCAAGGATCAGACCGCCAGTGGCTATCACCCATCACACATTGCACCTGACTCCTTTGGCCCCTCCCACAAGTGGTGAGCCCACAGGAAGGGGCACCCAGGCTTCCTTTTCGGGCTGTGATCTGCTGGGCTCCATGGGTGAAAGCTCGGCCACCAGGCGCTCACTGACGTGCTCCACCTGCACGCTTGGCTCCAGAGGGGGGCCCTGGTGACCCACGTCTAGGCGAAGGAGTATTGTTTCACTTTATATTTGTCATTATAAGGGGTCTGTGGGCCGCGCTTACTCTGATCCCTCACCTAGAACCTGTTTGCCATGGGTGTTCCTTATTATGAATCCAAATATACTGTATAAGTATCTACTATGTCTTACACGGATAGCTACAGCAGACACATAATCTTCCACTCGCTCCAGGAATCCGTTATGTATCCAACCGGGTGCGTTGCGTCAGGGCAGGAAGGCACTCCCTACGCCGTTCGAAAAGTGGAGAGAATTTCATCCATTTCATTTAGAGACCAGTTGACCAGATCCGTGGTTTACAAAAATCCAGAGAGGTGCTCCGGTTAGACTGACAGGGCAGAGATCGGCATGCAGGACAGAGTTAGGAGGAAGAAAAGAAAAATTGTGCATTCTCCTTGAAAAGCAGGAAGCAAAAGAAAAAGAAATGTTTTAATGGTATTTGTTATTTTAAACATCTTAAACTATGTACCCCAGCTTTAATGGTTGATGCCAATGAGATATGTGGAATAAATTAAAATAACCAAATCACAGCAATAACGAAATAAGGAATATTTACAATGATCTGTTCTGGGTTTCCGTCTCAGCTGATTGGATGTGGTCTCTATGCTTTGGTTTTAGTTTTGCCCAACATACTAGGAGTACTTAGTACATCATTATCTATTAGTCTGACACCTGTCTGTTAGCTTCAGTGTGGACTACTCACTGAGGGTGCATCTTATAGAGGGAACCATCGATGCCCACTGTTGTACGAAGGCGGGCAACTCCTTTGTTGTCCTTTAGACGGGAAAGGATGGCTCCCAGAGTAGCAGAGATCAGATTTGCAGATCGGAAGGAAACGATGGTGCAAACGTGCTGCACGGCCAGGCAGTCCTCATCAGAAGGCTCCACACCCAGACGTGTCAGTATCTCCATACATTTCTTCAGTCCTTCTTTAGTTCTACAAAGACAATAAACACACTGTTTTTCATACACACGTGTCTCCCATGTTTCAGTATGAGTGAGACATGAACTCACTTTTCAATAGCAGAGACATGTTTAGTCTCAATCTTTCCCTTTGTCAGCAGCTCAGGGGTTATTCGTCCTTCAAACAGCAGCCCCTCTTTGGCCATCTTGACCAGGATGAGTCGAACCAGCTCTCCCATGTACATTCCACTGGCCATCTTTTCAAATCTTATCAGAGAGGCACAGGACACGTTCAAATCAGCCCGTTTTCATCAGCCATGCTAATAAAAACCAAATATATGCCGCGTGTGCTTGATGTAATAAAGGCATGTTGCATCAAAAGAATCTGCGTGTTCACTAACTATGATAAAAGTCAATCCCATTAAGCGTTTAAGTTCAGGGCATTTACTGGGATTATCCCAGTTGAAACCTTTAGTGTGGAAGAAAAAACTTTTCCTACAGTTGCTTTCCTGGGTTGAGGGAACCTCTGTCAATCTCTCGGTCAAACTCTGTGCGAATGTCTTCCAAGGAGCCGTCATCCCCAAAGGCCCCCCACTCAGTGTTAATGCACATCCGGCCTTCGTCCCCCTCCACTAGGTCAATGTGACGCAGCTCCTCCATGTAGCAGGCGTTCGTTCCTGTTCCTGAAACCATGCACAGTGGTTATAGATAGCGATAGTAAAATCCTGACTCGTCGAGCACAGAGAAACCTGTCTGAATGGCTGAATCTGTAGTTGGCCTCTGACCCTGAAGATGTGGAACTTGGATAATAACAGCACTTGCTGTTCGTGATATTTTTATTTTGTGCACCTTGGAGTTATGATAATTAAAAAAACTATAGCTTAATACATTAGCTCAGCTTTCATTTTCATGTTACTGAACAACCTAAACAGACAATATTAAATACCAACCCATATAAGCTGAGCTTAAGCCCCGTCCAGACCCAGTGTTGGTGATCAGCCTCAGAGCCATCTCACTTCCTGCTCCTTCAGTTGGCCTCTAAGCTTTTGGTGTGAAATCAACTGGCGTCAAACTGGAGTTAATGCAAGTGTAGTGAGTTAAAGGTCTTGTGTTGCATACGGCACACCAGGCCACTGGGTGGGGCCAGTCATTCATGTTTGAGTTTTGTGGTGTTTGTAGACCAGCTGGGACACTGTTTACCTGAAAGATTGAGTTTTGGGTAGTTAAACATGTCAGAGTCATATTTATCACTCTATTGGGTTTCATGCGCATCAAACTCGAGCCATGGCAATAATCGAGCTAACCCGTCAACCAGCACGGGAGCCTTTATCCATGATTACATGTCTGTCAGAACTTTACTCATATCTAATTTATCTGCAGTGGACTCAAGTACGAATGAATGCCTTCTAGGTCATACTCTGGGGAAAAGAAGCTCTGGTGCGCAGTTTGAGGATGGGGAAGTGAGCTGGAGGAGACCGTGTCAGACCACGAGAGGATCTGAAGTCTTATTTCCTGATATTCCTACATCTCTCCTCTGATTGGCTAACAGCAACATGACTCTACCACTGACTCTGTCTGCTCTGCAACGTTGATATTTTATCTCCACAAATAACACAAGCCTGGTGGAGTTCTGCTGTGTGGTGGAGTTGCTAATGCTACCAGTTAGCTTCTACTAGCAGAGACATTCTCTGCTGTTTCCTGGATGCTAAACCAACAACAGCCTTCCCCGTCGTGAGTCAAGATGGGTGAGTCGATGAATGTTAGTGACAGGAAGTCACTAACATTCCCCCGATGGCCGAATCCACCAGGCTTAACTCGTTTTCTGGGGGAAACCCTGAGTCGGGAGCATTGATAGCTCTGAATGCTAACACACAACTCAGGAGAGATGTTCCTGTCAGGTCTGAGTTGGGTCTCAGGAACAACCTACCAGCTGCAGTGGTGGCTGTGCTCGGGAACTATTTGGTGATCTAACCCCCCAACCCAACCCCTCAAAGCTGAGTGTCAAGCAGGGAGGCGTTGGTCCCATTGTTAGGGTCTTTAATATGACCCAACTGGGATTTGAACCCGATCTCCCAGTCCCAGGGCGGACACTCTACCACTAGGCCACTGAGAAGGCGAGTCAGTTGGTAGTTATTTAATTTGCCTACAACTGAAGCAACTTGTGAAATGAGATGCAGGATCTGCTGTTCACTGTTCATTGGTACATCTCATTTGTTTAGATCAGTCAAATCCCGGTAAAAGCTTACCAATGATGATTCCCACTTCACACCGTTGATCATCAAATCCACACGTCATCATAGTTCCTACGGTGTCATTCACGACCGCCATGATGTCTGCCTCGTAGTCCTGAAAGCAACCAGATTCATAACCGAAGAGGAGGTTCATAAAACAGCTGAGTGTCAGGACGGAAAACTTTGAGTTAAAATACGATCATAGTAAAAATATCATAAAACCCAGAAGGGAAGAAGCTCGCCTCACCCCTCGTTTGTTGATGGCCTTGTTGAGAAGCTTCACCACATCCATGCCCTCCACGCCGCTGGCTTTAAACTTCTTTGTCCATGTCACCAAGACGGCCTGTGAAAAGCAACGCTCTCATCAGCCTGTCTAAACAATTATGCTTCTGATCCTTATTCAGACTCCATGACAGCAACCACAGCTGTGTGGGCGTTTACCTCGTCCAGCTTGCTCTGGACACAGGGGAAGGAGAATGTAAACCCCACCGGGAGACGTTTATCCTGGATCTTCTGCTTCTCCACAAAGTCACTCAGACATTCAGCGACATGGTCAAAAAGCTGGAGACAAATGAGATTTGATTCAGATTCCTCAGCCTTTCCCCCCAGCGTTAGCTCTCTGGTCTAACCCATGTCTCTGGTTGTGTTGCAGCCAGAGCACCAGCTGTTTCTGCGGGTTAGTGGTAGGTCAGTGCTTATCGTATTACCACCAGCCCTACTCAGGTCATTTTACAAAAACACAACCTCGAGTTCTCTGTAAAAAAACACTATATGGAGAACAGATGCGGGTGTCTAGCATGACTTGTGTCGCGTTTTCTGATGGAATAAACCGTCTTAAGCTATGTATGGGAACAGAATGTGGACTGTTGTCCGGGGCCTCATTCATGAAACGGCCCGAATCTTTACTACAACTCTACATAAGCTCTGCAAACGGTCTTCACTCACGCAGCAGGCGTCTTTCCACCAGCAGACACACAGTTAATGTACAAAAAGTACTTTGTAGATGTGCGGAGTGGAGGCTGGCCATTGTGTCTACATGCATGAGGGTATACTAGTCTGTAGGTGTAGCTTAAATTCACCCCGTCACCACCTCACTGGCTGTGATGCCGGTTTCCGTTTCCGTGCTTACATCGGGGCAGAGTTTACGTAAAGTTGCACGTATCTTCCTGTCAAGTTTTTCTTTAGAAATCACAAAGTTACGCAATTTTCAGACCCTCTTTTGCATTAGCAAGTTTTAACAAATGAGGCCCCTGGTCCAAACTTTTAATAAAGACATCTTTAAATGTGTACAAACTTGAACCTGAAACTATTTAAAATGCGTGCTTACCTGTGTGCCACTCCCATGGATGATGTCATCAGGTGTATCGTAAGCCTGGCTCTCCATCTGAACAGGCTGCTTCTTGTCTTGAGTCACTTTGACACGCAGGATCCGAAAGCTTGACCCCCCAAGATCCAGAGCAATGAAGTCCCCCTTTTCTGTCAAATTACCAATGCAGAGAATGATTAATGATGTAAAGACCTAAAGCTGTGTGGATGTAGCCGCAGGCTTCAGGTGGTCTCCATGGTGACGCTTTTCTTTCGTCACTTTCTCCTTTTTTATTCATTTGATTTTACACACATATGTACTCCTTACATGTGTGTGTTTATGGAGCGCGTCTTACTCCACACACATTTCTTGTTTGAAAAATGCCCCACAAGGAGGTGTCGCCTGGTAGAGTGGGACTGCAGGTAGCAAGTGACACAGATTTGGAGAACCAAGCCACTAACACACACACACACATATACACACACACACGTTAGAGCTATAGCGACGCATCGACAACTCTATTCTAAAAACGTATCGACGTCAAACCCGATAGTCGACGCACCACATCCTTGTTGCGACCCCGGCGGTTCGTACGTAGAGGAATCTGCCTGCTTTTCTTCTTGTCCGCCTCCACCAACATCTCTGCTGAGTAACGATGACCCAGAACAACGACTTCTACCAGGTTCCCTTCCTGTTTTGCCCTCCTCCGTCACCCACCAACGGACAACAACTGGGGTGGGGGGCTGAAGGTGAAGGCCACCATCACATTAGCCCTCGTGGGCCACAATCTGGTGTTTTAATTAAATAATTGCAAAACATTACATTTATCTATATATATATATATATATATATATATATATATATATATATATATATATATATATATATATATATATATATATATATATATATCATATGATGATATTTCTGTTTTTCCTATTAAAAAGATGCCTAGACACACACACACACACACACACACACACACACACACTCCCCCAGGGGTGGCCCACCCCCCTAACTGAGAAGCACCACGAAGCCACATAGTTGTTGGCTTGACCCTTTGCCCTCTAGAGGCAGCGTTTTTCCAGAGCCACTAGTGTGACCAGGTTTAACCCGCGGATATCGGAGACTAACCAACCCGTTTGTCTGATCTGTTGGTTTAGTTTGTAAAATAAACTTCAGTGGTCAAAGGATCGTAAGGAACTGATTCCTTTAGCCAGTTTAATTAGTCAGGAGTTGTGCGACAGTGCACTGATGATGATGATGATGATGATGATGATGGGGTTTCATGTGTTTATTGTTTATAAACTTGGCTTCCACTCTGCCCTTTGGCATATACCCGGGCCCTCTACGGAAACATGAGGCTATTTATAACGCGTGAAGGTCAGAGGTCAGTTCACCAGTTGGCTCGTCAGCCTCCTCGTGTGAGGCTGCTGAAACTCCAGACGGTTTATTTACCGGGAGGCTTTCAGGCCTCAGGTGCTGATGAGATCTTAGTTTACATTCAGGTGTAGAGAGGAGCTGCAGACCCCTCTGACACGCCGCAGCACATGTGATGGATGTGTGAGAGGATGGGTTAGGGTCGGGTCGGGCTCACAGTTCTAATGTAAAAAGCATCCCAGGTTTAGCCAGGTAGCAGATGGAGACTACCTGTTAACGGCTGTGATTCTGGAGGGGATGATAAGTGACGATGAACACCTGAGGAGTAGATATGTGGGCTGGACCGTGGTTCTGTTGGCACCGTGTTGTCTTACCGGATCCATCAGGGATGGACCTCACAAAGGTGGGCAGCATCTTCACAGCAGCAGTGGGGTTGGTGTCCCGGCCGAGTCCGTTCTCCATCCCCCTGCGGAAGCGGTTCATGATGTCCTTCAGCGTGTCGTCAGAGAACCGCATGGAGTACAGGTACTTATCAATCTGAGCAGAAGACGTGCACAAAGAGTAGGAAGGAAGGTTAACGGCTGACCTGTACCATCTTTTGTTATTCAACCTCCACTCATCAAACAGTAACTAAAGTCCTGACACTGGACTTAATTCAGAGTCTTTAATGCTGTTTCCACTCCGGCTGGGGAGAGTTCTGTTCCCCTGTAGACCTCCAGGGCGAGGGTTTGGGTTGGACAGAAGCTCTTAAACCTGAGCGCAGGGTCAGTCAAAACACCAGCAGGCTTAGCTGAAGACTTCCTGTTGAAAACATTCCTTGTTGGGAAGAGTTTCCCGTTGGTGGGGAGCATCAGATAACCCCTGGGTGCCGGCTGTAGCTGTCCATGTTCCCCGCCAGTGACCCAGGATAACGTACACGTTTAAATGAAAGCGCGTGACCCTGAGCGGTTCTGGCTGTGGGGTAAATATTCCCATTATTGTGCTCCACTTCCAGCTGTTACCTGAGGAAGCTCCCCAGAGGGGTGTGCCCCTGCTGCATTGTGACATCACACATAGGAAATGGTTTCACCCCACTGGCTCCCTACTGGGAAACAGCCGTCTGTCAGCTGCTTCAGGTCAGTTTCAGAAGCTGCCACAGGCTGCAGCCATGATCAGAACTCAGCTGTTCGGGTTCATGTTGATCTGTTCGACACGGCGTGAACGGGACGGGGAGGAACGAGGTCAGCTGTGCAAACGACAAGTAGGAGTGAGTTCAATAAAACAGGGGTGACCTTATATCACTGCTTCCTCTCAGATATCTGTCTTCCTAAGACGTCATGGCAACCAATGCTCCAGATACCCTGATGGTGGCGATGTGCTGCAGACAGAAGCACCCCACCACCATCCCTGGCCACAGCCCCGCTCAAGGACATCAGTGTCAAACACTAGCAACCGCTCAGCCAACCAGAACTGGGCCAAATCCAAAAGACCTCCCGTTCGTCCTCCTCCACCAGCCACGACGCCCTGGACCGCCCAATCCCACCATGGTTTCTGTTATGGGGACCTGCTGCAGCCACTGGGCGGCTGCCACCTCCAGTCCAGCTACAGTTAAAGGCTGCTCCTGCTCACCTTCTTGAGCTGATCATCCTTCAGCTCAGTGAAGTAGTAGGCCAGAAGCTGAGCCGCTATCATCCTTCCTGCACGTCCGCCAGGAGCTGTCAGTTGCTATGGAGTGTTTGGAACACAGGAGGAGGAAAAGGAAGCCTGTTTACTCCAGATCCTCCACACTGATCCCGTCTAAACCTGCAGCAGATAAAGAAGCAGGCCCAACCTGCGCAGCTGGCCAAGGTTAAAAGGAAAAAGTGGTAAAACAAGAGTAGAGCAGCTGACGTGCCGGCTGGTCAGCTTTCAGGCAGTAGTCCCACCCCTCACACACACACACACACACCGCCTCCCCCCTTGCTAGCTCCTAGTTAGCTCCAGGGAAACGACAGAGCGCTCCACTGGAATGGTGATTCTGCAATGCCCTGCCCCCACTAATCCCTCTGATTGGCGGACCTACACATATGAGAGAGAGTCAGGAGGGGAGGGGAGGGGACAGCACTGAAGGAGGAGGCTACATCTGTACGAAGACCCGGCTCAGTGGGAAAACCTCGTGTTGCCATGGTACCCAGTGGAGGACGTGCAGAGAGGCAGGACCATGAGCTGATGTCATAGTTAGCGTGGCGCAGCATCAGCAGCAGGCTGGAGCTGCTGCATCACACCTCTGAAGGTGTGGAGTCTTATCTCTGAAACACTGATAACCAGTTTAGTCTGGCCCATATCCCTAACGGTTAGGTGGCTGGAAGTGCTCAACAGAGATGCTCCCAGAGTCCTCTGGGGTTGTTCTCAGAGCTTCAGCGTGTGGTTTGGCGCTGTGGGTCAGCAGATGTCAGCATTACTATATTAGTCGGAGACAACCCCCACTCTGCCCTCTGAAGCTGCACTACGTCACCTCGCTGTGCGTGATGGAGACCACGTCTGCTGACTCAGTCACGCCACTAAGCCTCTGACCAACCCCCCCTTTCCCCCACGCCTCCATACGGGATTAGGAGCTTTTCTCATAAATGCTCCTGGACTTTTCTTGTCCTGTCCCCCTGTCTCTGTCACAGCTGACTCCACAAGCCAGTGAGTGCAGCGTCTCTCGCTCTACCAGGACACAGAGGGAGAGAGGGCTGACCTTCCTGTCTGGTGTCATGGCTGCTTCAGGGTGACCTTCTCCCATGACATCTCGACAGCTCTGCTCACAAACTAACTAAGGCCGCCTTCAACACTTTAACTGTAATCAGTGAAGACTAAATGGAGCTGGGCTGCTGAGGAGTTTGCTGATGACACTTTAGAAGTTTGAGGTGCTCCATGACTTTAGTTTGTCCAAAACTACAGTAAAATTATCTGGGCCAGGCGTGATTTTCAAACGTTCGGAATCGGGTGAAAAAGATCGAATTTAAGCTTCTAAGAAACAAACGTGACTTTTAAAAATTCATTCTGAGAGTTTTCCAAATGAATGGCTGAGTTTTAATCTCAACAGATGGTAAATGGCCTGTAGTTCTGCAACCCCCCAAGGCGCTTTACAACACAGTCAGCCATTCACACACTGGTGGGGATGAGCTACGATGTAGCCACAGCTGCCCTGGGGCGCCCTGACAGAGGCGAGGCTGCCGAGCACAGGCGCCACCGGTCCCTCCGACCACCACCAGCAGGCAACGGGGGTTAAGACTGAGCAGGGCTCGAACCAGCAACCTTCCGATTACCGGGGGGGGGGGGCACTTAACTCCTGTGCCGCCGTCGCCCCGACAAGTTCCTCTACATCAGTGTTCTTAGTGTCTTGGACGAAGACGACACCATAACTTCCCACAGTTTATGACAGGCAAGGATTTAGACACCATAACATGTAAATGTTCAACACATTCTCACACCACTAGCATCCAAAAATGACGCGGTGTGACCTAGCGTTTGTTTCTGATGCGCAGCAAAGCCCTGAGCATCAGGAGGAGATGTGCAGTGCCAGAGCGTCGGTATCTGACGCCCGCAGTAAAACCTTTACCCTCTTGCTATTTAACCTTGCCCTCACCCCCATCCTAACCTTAACCAGCCTGCACATGCAAAGCTCTGTTGTTAGAAATGTTTTTTTAGTAGCGGTTTAACCTGAGCATGCTTGAGAGAGGTGGGAAATGTACCGGATGTCAGTGAAGCGTTGATCACATGTGTGACTGCTGCGGCTACTGTAGGAGCAATAGCTCGGAGCAGCTTAGTCGGAATGGGGTCCAGTGGGCATGAAGTAGGGCGGCTGCACGTGAGAAGCTTGGACACACAGTTCTCAGTGAGAGGGGAAGAAGAGGAAAATGAAGCCGTAGGGCCTGAGATGGTTTAATAAATCAAGAAATTTCAACACAGTAAAATCAGCCAAAAGGCCACGGTAATAAAGATCAAGAACAACAGTAAATCCATATAAAAATGTTTTGCGAGTTTTGTTATTTTATGATTTTTTTGGTTAATAAGGCAAAACAAAAGTCATGACACCTCTAGTGAAACATTAGCACATGTCTATTGAACTAAAGTTTTAGCAAAATATGAGATTAAATCAAGAAATATAAACTGAAAGAATGTAAAAATTAAAATGCGTTTGAAAGTCAAGCAATCAAAATGTTGAGCATTACCGGCTCAAAGTTCAGAAGATGAAAACAAGTCCAATTAAACTTAAGGGTTAATATGAAAACAATGTCAAGCAATTAAGATTACCAAGGAAGAGAGACATAAATGATGGGTAACTTGACCCTTTTCATCATAAGATATAAAATTATTGACTGAGTTTAGACAAATTTTACTGATTTACGTCTACTATACTTAGATGGTTAAGGTCCTCTGATGAGCCTTCAAGCGCTGTTAAGCTTCTCGTCCACCGGTTTTAGTTAGCGCCTCTCATCTGCTGCCACTCTAAGTTTTGTCCTCTAGCCTAGTATTTATTTATATACAAATAAATGCAGCGCCTAAAGAACTGGCCCTTTAAGCCGTCTCGGTGTGGCCCATGTTCACAACGCTCACAATAGATTTCATTAGAGAACGGTTCGCATGCGAAGAGCGTTCTCTGAAGTTCTGCGAGGCTCTCTGCCTTCAAGTTACAGAAGCACAAACGCAATCGAGAGCCCCGTTCGTTGTTTGCCGGTCACTTTTATAGCAAAATTCACTGAGCTCTCTGGGCTCATGAGAGGACCTTCTCCATCCGGCAGTGACATAACTGACCTTTCGCTTCACGGGTGTAACCACAGCTTGTGCTATTATGAGTTCTTAAAGTTGGAACCACATCCCGACCCTTAGGCAATGTGACATGAACTTGTTTTCGCCTTCTGAAATTAGATCAAGGTGAAGCCAAGTTTACGCTTCTACAGGCGTGGAACATGTTGGAAACACTTAAAACTAGATGTTGTCTCCCCCACTGTGGTTTTCAGGTGTTGGCAGGTTGACGCACATTCTGTGCGTATTTAAGTCTCTGCATCTCTTGCAGGCTTCTAGCAGGACGGCTTGGGTTTGGCGCCCGGTCCCAACAAACATCATGTCTTTTCTTTGTCCATCGCGAGTTCCTGTTCACACAAAGAGGGCCAGGAGAACGTCCCTGAGGCGGCCCTCACCACATGGAGCAAAATTATTAGAGCAGGAATTGCCTATTCTGTCACTTGCGGTAACACGTGTGCACCTGCAACGAAGAATGTGTGAAGCAGGACAGTTTTGTGTTTGTGAACAACAGTAAAAAAGACACACGTTTTTTTTTCATACAAAAGTATGTGGATGTGCTTTGCACCATTTGTCTCGGCTCAGTTAGTGCAAAACTGCAACTGTACGATTATTTTTGATGTCGACTCAACAAATACAACTTGTGTACTTGAAAACAAAGATTTTGAATAGGTGAAGCTGTTGTTTTGTACCTGTGAAAGATAGTTTATTTCTGGATTTTTCTCTGTGAATTCAAGTTCTCAGAGTCGAGACACAAATGTTTTTGTACCAGATGTACCTCCATATATTCCGCCTAACCTCACCTCTCCAGGTCTCTGACGTTGCCCACTGGGCCAAAACTGTAACTGTAAGATTTTTGTGATGTGTGACTCAGGGCTGGGCGATATGGACCAACATTTATACGTATGTTGATAAATTTTTGCTGAATTCCGATATACGATATATATCTCGATATTTTTCCCCCGTAAAATATTTACATGTTTACTCACTTCAAGCTGTCTTGAGAAATTATAAACATAAACCAGTAGATTAAATGCATAAAAATGTATTGATTTTTCTCAAACTTTAACGTTAGTGTCTATTCTCTGGTACAGCTGTCTGCTCACACACACACACACACACACACACACACACACACACACACACACACACACACACACACACACACACACACACACAGTTGAGAGCTAGAAGTGTATCAAATGTCCCACAGGCACGTTTTAATTATATATTTATAATTAATGTAAAATCATTTAAACTTCATCTAGAGGTGGTCATATCATATATTTCTTGTCCAGAGAAAATAAATCTGTCATGTTAAACTAAATGTATGATGATGTAATTGCATCTACTGAAGGTCACAAGGGTCATGCACCGTGGCGTTATCAGGGCAAACATGGCTGCAGTCTAACAGTATTGACTCATATCAGCGATTGTACCGTAATGACTCAGAGTCTCTGGTTGCTCTTTTGTGAGTATTACTTTCGGGCTACTGTCGCCGTTACCCACGCCTTACAAACTCTTCTTAATTTTTTCAACAGAATCACTCTTAACGGAGTATTTACTAGCTTAGCAAACCAGAGCGGGAAAAAATGGAACCGGAACATTTCTCACCCGTTGAGCTCGCCTTCAACCCCTATAGTTTACTATTCAAACCCTTACAATACGTTTGAGGTAATTTGGCCACTCCAGCTATCCGTAGATGTTTCCTGATTACACAGGGGAGGGAGGGGTTTGGATAAACAGAACTCCGTTGGCGTTGAACGTCCCCAAATAATTAAAAACCAGGACACCAAATGCAAAGTTTAGAGCAGCACATTTACCCAGAGGCTCTCAGACTGAGCAAACTAGTGAGAATACACGTAATAACCACTTAGAGACGGAGCAACATGTCGCTAGCATAGCGGCTAATCGCTAGCATAGCAGTTTGTCCAGTTATATCGATACAAAGATATAAAGTCATCTTGTATCTTGTTTAAAAATTATATCGATATTTTAAAAACATCGATATATCGCCTAGCCCTAGTGTGACTCAAAGAATGCATTTTGTGTACTCGTACCAAAGATCAGTGCCGTGGGAACATCTTTTCCTTAGGGGGTGCTGTGATCAGCCACATACAACAAACACACGTTTAACACGCTTATATGTATTAATGTGTAATAGTAGTCAGCCTTAATTATTCTTGGTTCATTCTTCAACATAACAGCAGCTCGTTACCATCAACACTGGAAAACCCACAAAT